CCAAACCTTTAATCATCTTCATTGCTCTTCTTTGCACTTTTTCCAAAGTCTCAATATCTTTTTCATAATGTGGTGACCAAAACTGGATGCAGTATTCCAGGTGTGGTCTTACTAAGGTTTTATAAAACAGTACTAATACTTCACATGATCGTGACTCTATCCCTCTGTTTATGCAACCAAGGATTGCATTAGCTTTAGTGTGTCACATTAACACCGTGCCCATCTTGATACGTTGCGTGATGTCACATGACATCGCAAGTTTGACATGCCTGTTCTATTCCATTATCTACTGTAAATTGTTTATCAAGATATTGAAGAGTACAGACCTAAGATGGCCGAGTACTCTTCAATATCTTAATAATAATCAATATTAAGAATATTGATTAGAATATTTAATTTTATTTTTTTAAATAATTTTAATATGAATTTAATATTAAGAAAATTAAATTCTTAATATTAATCAATATTAAGACTTTAATACTGGCTATCAGTTTATGGAGGTACAAATGAACTTGTGTACATTCCGAAGGGGTACTAATTTGCTTGTCCTGCATAGGGGAAATCATGATAAGAGAGATAGCAAAATACTTAGAACAAGTTTCTGAACAGACTGTATATGGAGCTTAGTTTATATGGCACTAAAAAAAGGGAGGAGAAAACATGCATGAGTAAATTCAAATTTTGCCAAGTAAAACACACTTTGCATAGTAAACATATGTGTCTCTATTTAACAAACTTTGCATAGTAAACATATGTGTCTCTATTTAACCTACCTTTGGGGGGGGGGTTTCTCCTACTACTGGAAAGACAGACAGTTTTAAAGTATATGTGGGGGATGCAGGATATATACCCCTGCGTCACATCCTCAGATGCATGTCTACAGAGTTCTCTTCCTTTCCCAATATCAGAACCCAGGATCAAGTTAAATACATTGAGATTCATGACTGCTCAAGTGAAGGGCTTCTTTATACATTGGAAAAGTATCATGGCTTCAAAAAAAGTCTAGGTAGGTTCATAAACAGTAGGGCTATTCGTGACTACTAGTCTTGATGGGAATCAACTCCATGGGAGATAGCTTAAATGCTAGTTGTGGTGAAACAATAATGGAAGATAGCCATCTCTCATATTTTGCTTGACAATGTCCATGATGCATCTAGTCGGTTACAGTGAAAGCTGGACAAAATTGGCTGATCCAGCAGGGTTATTCTTATGAGAACAGAATATTCATATCGGTATATCTTCATCTTAAAATAACCACACATCCTTTTTAAAATTTCATTTCACCGTTTTGTGCATGAAGTAATTATAATTATTTTTCCCCACAAGAAATAATTCATCACCCCTACAGAGGTTTAAGAATAAAGTTCTTATATACCCAGAAGGATGTTTCTTGGGAACAAATTATATTTACTAGGCAGACAAGAAGCAACAATGATAGATATTAAAAAAAATCTAAGAAAACCAAGATTATTAGCCAACTGTCCTGTCCTTCAGTGTCTGTTAGTGATCTTCCCCTATTGGCCCTTCTTTCCGAAGTTGCTTTTGGGGAGTTGTGTTTTAGCAGGATTAGTAGTGGAAAAATCTCCCAGCATTCAGGAAAAACAGACCAAAGTCATCATGCTGCCTGATTGTAAATGGTGTGTGCTCCTTCCCCCCAGACAGATTGGCTGCACTGCTGGTGAAATCTAATTTCAGCGCTGATTTCACAGAGTATTCAGTACTACCTCTGAAACAACACAGTTGGGTGGGGTGATTGGTTGTTGGTTTTTGTGTCTTCAAGTCAGTGTTCCTGGAGACTGGCTGGACAAGTCCCTGGCCTCATTTTCAGAAGTTGCCCTTGCCTGCTTCCTAAGACTAAAAGAAAGCAAGTGGCCCAAAGTCACCCTTCTGGCTTCCATGCCTAAGCAGGCTAGATCTCACAATCTCCCGGTTTCTAGCCTGGTGCCTTTAACCACTGTGCCAAAGTAGTTTAGGGGCCCCAAAACTGTATAAGCACATACGAGGAATATTGCTGGAGTGCTTCTGGGGAAAAGCAGAGTGGCGGTGGTGGTGGTAACCATAGCTACTTCCCAGCGTCTTCTATTTGGGACAGTCACATCCCATGGCTTGGACATCCTAGTTTTGACCCCAGACCTCCATGACTGGAATGGATTTCATTGGTGCTTGCTTTATTACTCTCTCTGTTCCGCTTTTTCCAGTTACCTAGTCAGTTGTTGGTCCACTTTTATTCTGTCTTCTCTTTCCAGAGGAGGCTATGGTGCTATTTATTTATTGAATACCTTGCCTGTCAGGGAGAAATGAAAACAGTGTATATAGTGTTCCCTCTTCCTATTTTTCCCCACACTAACAACCCTGTGAAGTCACTGAGAGAGAATACAGCTGGCCCAAAGTCTCGCACTGGGATTTCCAATTTTTTAACCATTAGATCACACAGTTAATCCACTGCCTGTTCCCAATTATGATCTAATCCTGATCTTCTAGCCTAGCCTAGATGATGCCCTTTGTTCTTTCTTTCTTTCTTTCTTTCTTTCTTTCTTTCTTTCTTTCTTTCTTTCTTTCTTTCTTTCTTTCTTTCTTTCTTTCTTTCTTTCTTTCTTTCTTTCTTTCTTTCTTTCTTTCCTTCCTTCCTTCCTTTCTCTTTCTTTCTTTCTTTCTTTCTTTCTTTCTTTCTTTCTTTCTTTCTTTCTTATTCATATGCCAATCTCATATATATGACTATGGGTGGCTTGCAAATAATTAAAAACAATATAAAAAACCCACAAAAACAATATAAAAGTAACAATTGAAAGAACAAGAAAAACCATAAAAGGAAAAAAAACTAACAATATAGAAAACATATAAACATAATATTAAAGCCATCATAAAAATTAATGATTCACAGTTGAGGTAATCACATTTAACAGTAACACTCTGTCTCTGTGATGACTCTGCCACATTCCCTGGTTTCCTTGCCCATTGGCCAAGCCGTGTTTTCAGGATCTCTTGAAAGGCCAGAGGTTAGCGGGGGGGGGGGGTGTGTGTTCTTCATAGGACTCACTGAAGACTGGCTTCTTGTTCTATTGAACACAAAGGACTATTGTCTTGGAGGATCTCCCTCTACCCTTCACCCACTTCAAATAAAGGTTCCAATGGCGTAGGGCTTTGTGAAAGATTCCCTAACACCACAATAAGTAGAAGGATTAGCGCCCCTTTTTAAAGAAGGTTTTGGTGAAACAGACCCACCTAATGAGGGCACAGCTCTCCAGCGTTCCAGGGTCACCAGCTTTCTGGCAGTGAAAGCCAGCTCATTCTCTAGGCTGGAGAAAGAGCATCAACAAGGGTTGAGAGAGACCTCAGTCATGGGGATGAGCAGGCAGGTTTTTGGGGGGAGGAACTGTTACGATCAACTGTCCATCCCCTGGACAATATTTGGGGAATTGGCCTTTGATCCCACTTCCTGCCCATATAGCTGGCTTCCTTTGATATTTGAGATGCAGTTCATGAGGGCTCCAGAGTGTCCTGAATCTCAGATCTAGCTTGTCGGAGCAAACAATGGGCTGGGCATTTCTGACTGTCTTCGAACAGAGATCAGCTCAAGGCTGCCACTTTCCAAAGCAGGGGAAGCAGCAGTTCCTTTCTTGCAAAACCAGGAAGGAGGTTGAGATAAAAGGAAATACCTCCTTTGGTATTTGGCCTTTGTCGTCTTCCTAGGACTGAGGGTGACTGGTTCAAGGTAACTACCTGGCCTAGTATCTAAAATGGGACTAGACTCATGATCTCCCAGTTTCTAGCCAGTTTCTAGCATGATGGCTAGCACTAGCTAGGACTTGCCTTTAATTTGTCCCCACAGCCCAACTTGTGTTGATGCATTAAGAATTAGGCAGTTAATTCTGTAGATCTTCAGCACCAGAGGGATTAAAGAGCAAATATTTTAATCTGATTAAAAAGAAATGGAATTGGATTTTAATTACCAGATCTGCCTTCCGCCCTGCTACCTGCAAAATAGCTTGATGCCATGAGATCTCTCACCCAACTTATTCTCCTGATTGCAGGCTTGGCTGGTAAAGCAGCAAGTAGCAAGGTGTGTATTACATTTGGTGATAGATGTTGATACAGAAATAGTCGATATAGGTATAAGAGATAGAATTGGAGATAGAAATAGCAGTCACCGTCCCTTCACTGTGAGGTATTTCTATCTATCCAGATTTTTTTAAAACCAATTTTCCTGTTTGCTAAGACAATTTAAAGGAAGTGAACCTGTTGGAAGCAAAAGCTTGCAGGCAGCAGTGTGGTAGTGATTGCTGTGGACTTTCTATCCAGCACAGGGGTAGGCAACCTTGGCTCTTTGATGACTTGTGGACTTCAACTCCCAGAATTCCTGAGCCAGTCATGCTTGCTCAGGAATTCTGGGAGTTGAAGTCCACAAGTCATCAAAGAGCCAAGGTTGCCTACCCCTGATCCAGCAGATCAAAGCAGGAAAAATACCTCTTTTTCTTTGAAGGAGAAGACACAGTGATTCGTGTCTTCTGAGATGAAGACATTGCATTCTCAGATATAATATATGATTTTGGGTTGGCTAGCTGGAACTGCAATCTCAATACATCCGAAGAGCACCAGGTTGAGGAAAGTTGGGGAATTAGACAGCAGTCTTCTATAGTCCGTAGAACTATATAGTCTGTGGCCCAGAATAGATAACTTTTGTTGTCATTTGTTACTTTCTAAGAGTTTGCTACTAGGAAGAACCTGGGGATACCCCACAGCCTGTAGAGGTGTTAAAATTGAGCAAATGTGGTGGCCTAATCATAACTTTATGTTATGGAGTTTGGAACACCATATAACAGTCCATACGTCTCCAAGTTAGATGTATGTGCACTTTCCACCCAATTTGTGTAATGTCAGTAGTGATTGGAATAAAATGAATATAGGATTCCATAGCTGGCCCTGGGATGTAACAATAATGTTGGCAGTCGACAGAGGCTTCTTCCTCTTAATTCTGCTTTCTTCCCACTACAGGTTATGTGACGCATCCTCACTTGCAGTGTTCATCCCTGACAGCCGGATGGCATGGGTGTACTGGGCTCCAAGACTTCCTTTTTGGCTTTCCTCCTAGGCCTCATTTCTGGTTTTTTTAGCATCTTCTACCTTGTGCAAAACCTGACATGGGAAGAATCCCTGCGTCTTGGCATCCAGATGCAGCATGCCTCCAAGGATCTAGAAATCATGATTGCTAAATCAGCTCTTATCAGTTCTGCACACTTACACCAAACAGGTAAGAACAGAAGAGCATAGGTACAACAGAATCCTTCCCCCCCCCCAAATCCTGGTGTCCTCAGGACTGCTATAGCAGTCATAAGGGCTAGGAAATGGAGGTTGTATTCCAAATATGAGAAGGAGATCAGGTTGGAAAAGGAAAGTGCATTAGGAAGGTATAGGTATAGATATGTGCATCCCCCCCCTAAATTGCTGTTAAGCTTTTGCCTAAATAAATAGGTGAAAATACTTGTAAAACACCCAATGTGTTTTTGTAGGCTTGACGTATTGCAGTGTGCTGTCTTGTACATTCATTGCAGGACAGTTTCACTTCAGATTAGTTAGTTGGGAAGCTTTTTTGCCCTGTCACACTTATCAAACTAAATATGGAGTATGAGTCCCCAGTTTAATCTTTTGTCCAACTTTAAATGCTCCATATGGTCCAGTCAAAAGTGGTTGCAGTCAAGCAGATTGTACTGGCTGATGATCTGGATTATGCTAATAATTCACGTCAGGGAACATCATGGAATGAGTTATATTCTGCTAGTGAGATGTACAGTGTGTTTCTTGGTCAGCTCGTCTTGGCTGCAAGGAACAATTTCACCTTGCAGCCCACGAATGAGATATCTGCAGTAAATGATATAATTGTGCATTACAGCATTGTCATTGTGACATTTGGTCACAGAACCTGAGAATTCTGAAGTGGGATTTGTGGCCTGGGCTTTAGGAGCATCTGCTGATGTAACCATTGAACATCAGTGGTGTAAGAACAAGTTAAACGTATAATCAATACAGGCAGTCCATGGACTTACGACCACAATTGAGCCAAACATTTTTGTTGCTAAGTGAGACATTTGTTAAGTGAGTTTTGCCCCCCTTTATGACCTTTCTTGCCACAGATGTTATGAATCATTAGAGTCTTTTAGCTAGGGATATGGTTGGTAAGTGAATCTGGCTTCCCCATTGACTTTGCTTGTCCGAAGGTCACAAAAGGTGATCACAGGACCCCGGGACACTGCAAGAGTCACAAATATGAGCCAGTCGCCAAGCGTCTGAACTTTGATTGCGTGACCATGGGGGGATGCTGCAGCAGACCCAAGTGTGAAAAAAACGGGTCATAAGTCACTTTTTCCAGTGCTGTTGTACCTTTGAACGGTCACTAAATGAACTTTGTAAGTCGAGGGCTACCTGTATCTAGTATATATAAATCTTAGGTTCCTAAGATGACCTATTGTTGAAAAAATGGTAACTCTTAGGTTCCCTCTTCCTCAGGTGGGGACAGCAGCGTGGCAGATGAACTGTATGACAAGGTGCGGATTCTGTGCTGGGTGATGACAGGACCCCAAAACCTGGAGAAGAAAGCCCGCCATGTCAACGCCACTTGGGCCCGTCATTGCAACGTGGTCATTTTCATGAGTTCAGCGGAAGACAAAGTCTTTCCCGCTGTAGGACTGGGTACCAAGGAAGGCAGGGACCAGCTCTACTGGAAAACCATCAGGGCTTTCCATTACGTGCACCAACATCACTTTGAGCAGGCCGACTGGTTCCTCAAAGCAGATGACGATACCTTTGTGGTGCTTGAAAACCTCCGATGGCTGCTCTCCAACTACTCCTCCGACAGGCCCATCTATTTTGGGAAGCGCTTCCGACCCTTTGCCAAGCAAGGCTATATGAGTGGGGGCGGGGGCTACATCCTGAGCAAGGAGGCCCTGCGTCGCTACATTGCCGGCTTTGCCACCAAAGTCTGTAGCCACACGTCTTCAGTGGAGGACGTGGCTCTGGGCCAGTGCATGGAGAAGATGGGCGTGGAGGCCGGCGACTCCCGGGATACGAGGCAGAGGGAGACCTTCCACCCTTTTGTGCCTGAGCAGCACTTGACGGGGAAGGTCTCAAAAAGCTCCTGGTACTGGGCTTATTGCTATTATCCTATTGTGGAGGTATGTGACACAATAAGCTTTCTCCTGCAAGGGTGAAGCAGTTTCCTTTAGGGCAGTGGTTCTCAACCTTTTTAATGCCGCGACCCCAACCGGTCGTAAGTCGAGGACTAAACCGGTCGTAAGTCGAAGACTACCCAACCGGTCGTAAGTCGAGGACTTTCCCTGCCGGGAGCGCCGCACATGCATGGTTCCGCCCCCTGCGCCGGCCGAGGCGTACCTGGCAAGTGGCAGAAACGGAGCAGGCCGACCACCAGCTGGCCCAGCCCAAGGGAGGTAAGGCACCCGCTGGAAAAGGGGAAAAAAATGGACAAAAAAATGGTGGACAGCCTTGCTTGGCGACCCCCATGAAATGGTCGATCGACCCCAAATGGGGTCCCGACCCACAGGTTGAGAACCACTGCTTTAGGGTTTTCTGTCAAGAACTTTCTTCAGTGCTGCTCAGAGTCGGAATGGGACAATTTGCCACGGCCAACTCGCCACGGAACAATTCAGCATGGGACAACTCGCCACAGGACAAGAGTTACACTAATATTGAAGAAATAATGGAGTAGAATCATTAAAGAAAGGATGCCAAAGGAGGGATAAAATGAAATGCGAACGACAAAAATTAAAATATTGTTGAGCTATTTTAAATAAGTAAATTGAGTTGTTGAATTGTCCTGCAGCGAGTTGTCCTGTGGCGAGTTGGTCATGGTAAGTTGGCTGTGGCAAGTTGTCGTAGACCTGCTCAGAGGTGCCTGAATCTGGTATCTCTTGGATGTGGATGGCTATTCCCTGGACCTGTAAGTTGCTGAGTGTAGCTGTACAATACAGAATGGGAACCATGGACATGGAGCTACTACAATTCCCATTTTTCTAACCATAGACTATGCTACTGAGACCAATGGGGTTAAATATACAGCCACAATTTGAAGACCACAGATTCTTCAGCAGCTTCACTGCTTACCTGTAAGTCAACCATTTAGATGTTTCCGGCGTATTCATAAGGTTCATAAGATAGAAATGCCTCTCCAGCTGTTGGCAAGTCTATTGTGGATGGGACATGTTTCTCTCTGTGTAGGTTGGCCAGATAAAAGAGAAGGCTTGGCTTATTTACTTTTGTATTTGCCTAGAAAACAGATTTTCAGCAGGTAGTCTTACCCTACAAACCTGTTCCCCCACAAAGGTATAAGAGAAGGAGTAATTCTCTCGCTCTCTTTCTCTTTTTTTGCATTGAGCGGTAGTTTTTCAAGCCTAAAGTTTCGCAATTATGTTGCCTCGGGCTTTGCAGGATTAATCACTTGATGCTATCCTGAGCCATGGGATGGGGATGGGGGAAACATTGGATGAGCAAAAGGATCCCATTGGGCCCATGTAAGTGGACAAATGTGAAACATGGATGGATAACCCTGTCTGACCAAAGAATAAACTGAAGTGAGGAATTTGAGGGCAAAGATGCCAGAAATATGTTTAATCTTAGTATTGGGATTCAGTGACCCTAGACGATGATTAAGTGATTAATTGTAGATTAGCTAATGCTTGCTCTTAGTTGAAATGGAAAGAAGCCAACTGTAATTGCTCTTTCAGACAACTTTCAAATGCAGATTACTTTTGACTTCATGTATGCATGTATAATTATGTGGATGAATGAGGGTCTTTTTAAATGCTTTTATAATATCAGAGCAAGGAACTTGTGGCTCTTCAATATCTCAAGGGCCACTGTGCCCAAACCAGCAAGGATTTCCATGAAGGCTGCTCAGTGGTTCAGCAATATCTAGTAAAGTCATAAATTCCTTGTTCTTATCTGTGTTCTTCTTAACAGAATAGTTTCTTGTGACTTTTTTTTTAACAAGCAGAATCAAGAGCCTGCCAGACCTCCCAACAGGAGCCCATCTTACTTGAGGTTGCAGAAATCTCATCAGATCAAAGCTAGTTCTCCTGAGATCTTTCAAGAACTCGTGGGACATTGCTGAAATTATTCATGCAGGAATGTCAAAATAGTCCTGAAATGGATTGGCTATACTTTCTCAGTGCCATTGTTTCTGGAACCATATTTTGTTTTTCCATTTATTCCTGATCGTTTGAGAAACAATCATATTCATATAAACAGGTCATCTAATGTACAGATTCAGGGAATAGAGATTTGGGATGTTAGAGTGACTTCTACAACCCAATGCTTTGGGTCCCAAAGGTGCTTTTTCAAAAGGCAACTGGACTTTGTTTTTCCCTAAAGACATTTCGCTTCTCATCCAAGAAGCTTCTTTAATTCAGAATTGAAGAAGCTTCTTTGGATGAGAAGCAAAAATCCTCAGGGAAAAACAAAGTCAGTTGCCTTTTGAAAAAGCACTTTGGGGACAACCATGACCTGGATGATTGAGAATTTCCTAGACCAATGCATTGGAGTTCTTAATTTCCCAAATTCCCAGTGAACAAGATCAATAGTGAAAGCTGGCCCAGGACTCAGTCTTATACAAAGGAACTAAGGAACCTGTAAAATGTGTCGTGGCAAGCTCTTACAGCTGGCATGTTGCAACCAAGCATTCAGCTTTCCATGCTACATGAAAGCATTGTCAGTAACTATGTACTCCTGTTTTTACTCTAGAATAGATTGTAGATATTATTATTGTTTTGTACCATTACTGGGACATCTGGGTGGTCACTGTCCATAAGAAAACACAAATCATAAATTACATTCACAGTAATTCTTACACATTTATTAGACTTCATTGGTGGTGGATGCTTTCATCCTGTAGGTTACGATGGTCCCATGGAAAAGTGGCTTTCCAAAAGTGGAGATGCAGCACTCACTTTGCTCTACCTAAATATTTAAGACTATGAATATTCCATAGATCTATCTAATGATTAGTTAGCTCAGAATCAAGTATGCTCAGAAATTAATCTCTCCGCATCCCCAGATTTTGAATTTTACAAAGAGGGCACTTTGGAAGAGAAGACCATAAAAATTTAACTGTGAGTAACAGGGACTCACAGCAGGATTTTCAATGGTTAAAAGACAATGGTCATAGTTACTGTTTGCAGCCCCAATATTCAGAATACCGTATGCTATACAATTAACTCATGCAAACACAGGGTTTTATGGGGTATATTCGATGTAGGCTACACAAGCTTGGCTCTATCACTATACTACCCTGTTTTTAAGCCAGTGTTCCTTATATCAGATAACGAGATGAACAGCATATAAATTTGATAAATAAATATTTGTGTTCCCCCATCTGCTGTCTGGATTACTCCATCTGCTTTCTGTTAAATAAACCACAAATATTTAGAAGTTGGCTATTTGAATATCTCCAAAAAGACATTGTCAGTGCACCTGATCATAGGTAGGCTTGCAAGGGCTGCTACGAGTAGCAATTCAGTTACATCTGAAGGTTCCCATATTCCTCAGCTTACAATATGTAGGTCTGCAGTCTAGCCTCAGCAATTAACCCCAGTTTTCCTGTGTTCCTCAGGGACCTCAGTGCTGCTCTGACCTGGCTGTGTCTTTCCACTATGTGAACTCAGAGTTGATGTACACCCTGGAATACCTCACCTACCATCTGCATGCTTATGGTTACCGCTACCGTTACCAGCCACCTTTGCCTGAGAATGCTGCTCACCTTCAGCCCCACCCACCCTTGGGAGAAGACCCTAAGAGGAGCAGCAACACCACTGAGTAGGGCAAGATGTAAGGACTGAGTGCAAGTTCAGAGCAAACTCATCCAGCTGTAGATAGTGAGGCTTGTCAGTACCTCAATCCTGCAGGCCTGTATGGTTTTTAGTGTGTTTTAAAGGAAGTGCCTTTTTCCTGGAAAGAACTGAAATGAATATGCCTTGAGCTCAGATAATTTGCTCATCCCCAAACCTCTGTAAATGTCCACTAGCCAAGTGAAAGGATGTTATTAGAGAAATTTTTGTTGTTGTTGTTCCTGAAAGGGAACGAGAAGAAGGCAGAATTTGGCCAAGTATGATGCTGATTTCTCCATTCCTTCTTTAAGTCTACCGAGTCACAAGAATGCAACATCAGAAGTTTCAGTCCACTGAAGGGTCCAGCCTATAATTAAGACACTCTGCAGATGGGCTTCTTCATGGTCCAGGGTGTATTGCAGTGACAAGGATTATTGTTTAAAGGAAGATAATCGAGACAAAGTGAAGAAGGAATTGGCAAGCTACTTCTGAAAAATGCTGCCAAACAGACTGCAGGGAGCATTTGCCCGGAGTCAAAATTGACTTGAAGGGACATTTTTTTCCTACATAACTGCTGACTGCCCAATAGCTGACTGGCATGCAGGCAGCAGCCACTCCCACAGTTAGTATGTCTTCAGCCCCCTTATTGCCTGTACTTGGCAATTACTCCCATGCCTGCCGTTGAAAGTTAACTCCATCCTAACTCTATATGAATCCCCGTCCATGTGAAGATTCTGCAGTATAGTCAGTCTCGCACTATGAGAATCTGTTTATGCCAAATCAGATAGTTCTGGAGACAGGAGGGCCAACAGATGCCAGGCCTTGTGAAAGTATTACTCATCCCTCAATTTCTTTTCAGTTTTCTAACTGGGAAACATTTAATAATAATAATCATCATCATCATCCTTGGTAAGGACTCGATAGGTAGACAAAAATGCCAAATCCAGTCCGAAAATCTGGCTGACTATGTGATGATCAATAATAATAATAATAACAATAATACTAATAATAGAGTTGGAAGGGACCCTAGTCCAACCCCCCCCCCCACTCAGGCAGGAAACCCTACCATTTCAGACAAATGGCTGTCCAGTCTCTTCTTAAAAACTTCCAGTGTTTTAGCATTCACCACTTCTGGAGGCAGGTTGTTCCACCGATCAATTGTTCTAACCATTCTAACTAGTTCTAAGTTGCTTCTCTCCTTGATTAGTTTCCATCCATTGCTTCTTGTCCTGCCTTCAGGCGCTGTGGAGAATAGCTTGACTCCCTCTTCTTTGTGGCAGTCCCTGAGATATTGGAACACTGCTATCATGTCCCCCCTCGTCCTTCTCTTCATTAAACTAGATATACCCAATTCCAGCAACCGTTCCTTATATGTTTTAGCCTCCAGCCCCCTAATCATCTTTGTTGCTCTTCTCTGAACTCTTTCTAGAGTCTCAGCATCTTTTTTTTACATCGAGGTGTTCATTTGATGCTTCCAAGCATCCGTAATGGCAACTTCTGACCCATAATAGTTGCAGTTCTATTTTGATAAATTGATCTGTGTTGTGAAAAATGTATACATATTTTCAGAAGTTGAAAAAGAATGGAAAGTACATACACTTCCAACTATATCCAAAACAAGGATGTAACCAAAAAGAATCTTCTGCAAAAATGTAACAACTATTGCTGCTAATCGTACTTCCTTCTTGAAGGCAGAGATGACTAAAGCATTGATCAGTCCTTCCTGTAATATGCTGAAAAGACCCATATGGAGATATGGAGACTCAGAGATGGCCAGCATCTGAGTCTCTTCAAAAGGTAGGTTGAAGTCTGAAGTTAGACCAGGCAGCTGATGAAACCCCCACCCCCACGACCATACATTGCCAAATCTGTGAGTTTTGAATTCATTGTGATAAATTGAGATGGTGGACCAGAGTGTTAATCTTCAATAACTGTGAAAGTTTCTCAGGACTTAAGAGATGTTGATGGATTGTTCTTCTAATCCTTTTTAACCCTTTCTGGTGTTGCGGGTAATGATACATTATTTTATTGTTTCGAATAAGACTGTGGGGTAGTTGTACAGAATCTGTTACTAATTACAGTTTGGAATTAAATATCTTTGGATATTGAAATAAATGGAGACGCTGATCAGTTGTAACTAAAATCCTGTTTGTTTCAGTGGTCAACACTGGATTTGAATCTAATCTTTTGAGTGTATCTCCAGACTTTGTTGTCCAAGCTGACTTTTAGGGGGAAGGTAAACATTCTCAGAGTCCTTTGCTTTGCATTTCAATGCTAGAAAGTACTACCATTGCCTATATTTTTTTTTAGTCATATAACAGTGCTCTGTCTGCCATCACAATCGGTGGTATATTTTATTCATTCAGAAATGGTGAGCATATGATTCATCTTTCTGAAGCTGAAACTCAAATCTTTTGGCCACCAAATGAGAAGAGAGGATTCATTGGAAAAGACCCTGATGTTGGGAAAGATTGAAGGCAAAAGGAGAAGGGGATGACAGAGGCTGAGAGGGTTAAATAGTGTCATTAATGCAACGGGCATGAGTGTGGGCAGACTCAGGGAGACAGTGGAGGACAGGGGATCCGGGTGTGCTGTGGTCAATGGGGTCACAAAGAGTCGGACATGACTTAGCAACTGAACAACAATGATTCATCATATTTTGATTTCCTCAACAGAGAATTAGGGTCCTTAGTTTTACTATTTTTTTTGTTAGGCCAGTTGAAGACTATATAATTCAAGAGAACTTAGTTTATGCTTACAGTCAGCCAGAGCTGTAGCATCGCTTTATAAACCAACATTAGCAATGCTTATAAGAAAATGCTGGTGGCCAGCTAAGTCTTACCAAACAATGGAGTTGAAGATAGGACAAAAAATTAGCACTGTCACTTATCTGTGTGAGTGGAAAGGCAGTATTCTTTCTTCCAAAACACACATCACTTTGGGGGGGGGGGATTGCCTTTGTTTTCTAGCGTGCAAGTTAGCATAAATACTGGAGAGGTTTAAACATTGACCCTACAGCTGATTTGATTTTATAAAAGGAAAATAAAAAGTTGGGGCACCAGTCAATAGAATTCATAACCATAGACAAAACCAAAAATAATCAGACCAACTTGTTACTTTCCAAAGAAGGTTTTTATATCAATTGATGTTAAAAAATACAGACTTGTTTTACAATAATAGCACCATCTTTAGTATCGTACACAGTAATCTTGCTTTGATACACACTCGGAATGGAGTGGGGAGAAGATTTGGCTACAACCAGGATTGGGGACATCAGCAACCTGGAGGGGAGGACCCTTCATATATGCTTGTGAGCTTCCTATCACCACCTGACCCAAGAAAGGTCCTCTAGGAAGACAATAAATAAATAATACCATTATTAGTTGTTCCTTCCTTCCTTTCTTTCTTTTGCTGGCTTCGTGATCTACTCAAGCAATGGTGGCCACAGAAACTGATAAAGAGAGTCCAAAATGTAAGCAAAAAGGTTTGGGGGGGGAGGGAAAGGGAGGAGTTTGGTTCAGCCATTCAGTGCAGAAGTTCTAAAAGTGATTGGGAAGTACTTGGGTTGGTAAAAAAATATTGATTTCAGGGTTTGTTCTCCTTTTACAAAAAGCACACGGGGCCAATATCAACACCAAATTCCTGATCGGCACCACCAATGTCCATAGGTGCAATGTCAATGATGGGCAGGCGCGAAGTCTTCTGAGATCGATACTCAATGATGGTCTTCCCCCACTTTCCGGTATGTTTCTGGAATGGTGAAAACAGACACACGCATGCAAGGATGCATTACTTCAAGAGCTTTATACTCCGGTTTCAATGAGGTGCTTGGATAATCATACATCTGGAAGGCATGGCATGCTTAGGCTGGCTGCGTCTACTTTCAAATCAGTGGAATTTTATGGAAATCTGAGGGGGGAATTATGATGTCGTGTTTTGCTTGCAATGTAGTTCTGAAGGGTAACATCACACCACCTGCTCATGGATCTGGTATGGGATTCTAGCAGATTATGGGATTCTAGAAGATCAGGGTCTAATGTTCTCTTGAATAGTTATATTTTCAGACAGGGTGGGTTGATGGAACTATATCCTGCCTGCTCTGATGAATAAAATAATGTGGCGGATTTCAAATACTAGAACAAATCTCTCTGGCTTTATATAGTTTTAACTTCTTTTTGATAACTTGGGAAAGACAGAGTATATAATATGGTCAACAGAAGACTTCCCTACAGAACTGGATTCAGAACTGTCTCTCTTCTTCCTTTCAATCTGATATAGTCTACTATAATTTACCCAATACAGGTAGTCCTCAACTTATGATCCTAATGGAGCCTGAAATTTCCATCGTAAGTCATGACAGTCATAAGTCAAGGCACCCTCATAACTGACCCAATTTTACAATCTTTTTGTTGCAGTCGTTAAGTGAATAAACACTGCGGTCATTAAAGCAAGTCAAGGCATTCCTATGGGTGTTTTTTGCCAGAAACCTGCTGAAAAGGTCAGTTTCTGTCAAAAATCATTCATAAATTATGTCACAGGACCACAGAATGTTGCAACTGGCTGCAAAGGCAAGCCAGTTGCCAAGCAACAAACTGATCATGTGACTGCAGGGTGTGTGCAGCAAATGGAACCCTAGAACCAGGTTGTAAGTACCTTTTAGGGTGGTTTCTGTCAAAACACTAAGTGGCTGATCATTAAGCAAGGGCTACGTGTACTACTTCAATTATTAACCCAGCAGTATAGCCCATAAGAGCAGTTCATGCATCCAGTTTAAGTTTCATCCCTTTGAGATGTTGGAAGTGTGAACTTACTGGCAGTAATATCTCAGCCCCACCTGACCGCAAGCAGGAAATAGAGCGTAGACTAAGAGTTAAGATTTACTCTCTGTTGTTTCCATGTCTGTCACTCTTTATCTAAGAAACTTCTAATCTGAGATCACGCCTTCTGACTTTTTCCCTTGTACACATATAAAGAGCACACATGTTCTTTCAACTCCTGGTGGGCTTGCTAAATGCAAGGCCTTTCCTAGCCCTAGGGTGAATTTCCTGTAATTAAAACCATCATCCTGTTTTAGCTATAAAGCTTGCATCGCTAAAAAAAAAAAAAAAAATCCTACTCAGGAATGTTCTCATTACTTACGAAGAATGATCCAGCTACAGAAAAATCTAACTGGTTACTTGGCTGAAATGGAAATCTCTGCTAATCTCTTTGATCAGCAAGCTAAGCTTGGTACTA